TTATCTTCTTCGGAGAACCGTCTTTTCAGATCCTTTGCCCACTTTCCAGTCGCATGATTTGCCCTTTGTTATTGAGTTTTAAAGTGAGTGCTTATCAGATGGGCAGCAACTTTCCCCCATTTGGTGGCTTGCTTCGCTTTCTTGATGGCAACCTTGGGGTAGAACAGTTGTCGCTCTTGTCGCTTGTGATTCTGGGACCATTTCTAAGACGCATTGCCTAATCCAAAGCCAGGAGAATTTCCATTTGTGGTTTCTCCTGAGTTTTTTCGTTTTAGCTCTTGGTCTTTGACCCATTTTGAGTAGACATTTTAATAGGTTGCTGAGTTAGTTAATTGTGCCAACCTGGCCGATAATCACATGTGGTGCTGGTTGAAAAGCGGAGGGATAAATGGGTGGTGAGGCTCGCCTTTCTAGTTCTCGAGTCTCTTGCTTTGTGATGGTCGCACCAGGGTACAGCTGCCTTAGCAGTTCCCTGCTTCAGCTTGCAAGATTGACTTCCTACAAGACATCCCCAAGGAGAAGCCACATGGACCTATCCCGATGCAGCCCTGGGTGCTGGAGCAGCCGTGTGGAGACCCCTGCTAGTGCTGAGATGCTTGTTCATTCACTGACTCAGCTTTCCTCCTGCAGTCGGCATCATTGCCTCTGTTTTGTGAGGTGGAGGACTTTGTGGACTAGTGGACTAGTGATGGGTTAATGGGTTAATGTTGGACTTGTGGGCTTGGGCAGCATTGGGTTGGGATGTTTTCGTGATGCACATTTTCTTTACATAAAACTCTCTCTTATACATGAGTTGCTGTGGATTTGTTTCTCCTAAGTACCCACACTAACACAGTTGCCTATGTGAGGCGTGGACCCGACTTGGTTCTTTTGCATGTAAAGATCCAGTTATTCCCGTGCCATTTGTTGGGGGGGAAAATCCCAAACACGGTTTTTCTCTCGTTGAGTTGTCTCGACACATTTGTTGAAAATAAATCGGCTGACTAGAAATGTCAGGGTTGACTGGAGAAGTGAGAGAGCATTACATTTTTTTTTTAATTTTTAGGGCAGTCTTACATTAACCGTGCCAAAAGTTACACATCAATTTCTTGCACATAGAAGTTACTCACCAGCTTGAAGAAATAAATGACAGCCACCTCCCCATTCTGAATCGCGCTGGTGATGAGGGGACAGATTCGTGCCTGGGCCATTGCCATGAATATATCTCTCACTTCAGACAAAATGATCACCGCCATGTCTTCAGGGCCCGAATTCAGACAGCGTTTGGGACCGTTTTGTCTGATAGGATTTTAGGGTTTTCTTCCAAAACTAACATCTTACACAAGGCTTTTCTGTCCTCCAAAGGAATGGCTTCTGGGTGATTTCTGGTGACTTTAAACAGACTCTCCTTGGTGGTGACCTTCACTGAGGTGGGCCAGGTGCTCCAGGTAAGAGGAGACTACCCTGGTCTGCCCTCCACAGAGCTGCGGAGCCAATGGATTCGTTCCCTCCTACCCACCCACCAAGGCCCATTTCCAAAATCGCAAGGGGCTTGGCAAGAAGCTGTTGGATCAGCAAGCATTGGACGCAGCTGTTTCCCATCTTTGGGCAAAGTCAGTGATTTGGCGTGTCTCCTGATGGAATGAAAATTTGGTGAAGGGTGTCAACAAAGACATGCCTCGAGGCACCCAAATGCCTCTTTATTTACAGCTACTGAGTTCACAGTCAAACAGTCTATAGATGGGCTTTTTGCAAGCAGCGCTTGAGATTAGCACGTGCGTCTATCTCTGTGGGGACCTCAAAGTACTGTCTTCAGACTCCTGTCTCAATCACTCGGGGTTGAGTGGCAGAGGGGGACTTGTGAAAATCTGTACCCCTGGGTCCCTGCCGAGTTCTGAGAGTTTGAGCCCAGTAGATAAAACTTGCTGCCATCGAGTCAATTCCAACTGACTACGTGCGACCCGTAAGACAGGGGACAGCTGTCCCTGTGCGTTTCCAAGACTGTAACTCCTTACGGGAGTAAAAAGCCTGGTCTTTCTCCTGACGTGGAAGCTTGCCTAAACTCATGAGGGATAAGAATCGGGATCCGCACAAAGCTGGTTCCTATGAGACGGAGGCCAGGCATACTTCCACACTC